GACCGCCAAAGCGGAGCAAGAAGCCAACAAGAACTAAAGAGTGTAAAAGTAATATTATATTTAAACAACATGCCGATCTATTTCTAGCCTAATTTTAAAACGCACTGGAAGCAACTAATATAATTATTATTCAATAAGTTAACTGTGGGGTTTAAATATTCGGTTTATCTTATTTTGTTATTGTGTTTTTTGTGATAAGTCATTTAATTATGAAATGTTACGATGATAAGCTGTTTCTGATCTTTATAGTTAATTTTTCCTATGTACATATACCACCAAGTTTTATTCATCGCAAGCGCAAAGAAAGCTTCTTACTTCCAACAAAGCTTTCTCAGCTTGCCAGAACTACGCATTTGCTATAACACTATCTGAACAATAATCACATAAACACATAGATTCGATCGAGTTTATGGTGCAATTGTAGATACCGATTAAATGTCAATCAGCTTATTTGTAAATTATACGCTGTTTCTAGGATTTTTATTCAATTGGTAAACCAGCTATTAATTTCCTTTCATACAAGTCAATGTTAGCATAAAAAAGGGGTTGAAATTTCATATTATTTATTATTATATACTATTAAAATGCCACAGTCGCCTCACTGTTAATCCACTCATTGAAATACACCAAATTTGTATAAACTCCAGGGAAACCGACACGTCCACAGCCATTACCCCACGATACCAAACCTACAGCCGTGCCATTCGATACAAGCGCACTACCCGCGTCACCCAGACACGCGTCGATTGCAACGCCATTTGCACTTTCACCACCGGCACACAACATGGCCGCGCTAATGCGCCCGGCGCCATATGCTGCTTTGCACTGCGCAGTGTCCATTAAGCGCACATTGGCCTCTTGCAATTGCTCCTCAAGTTCTACATACTTAGCCGCAGCGCCCCAACCAGCCACAGTAGCCGCGCTGCCAGCTACGGGTAATTCCTCAGCCAGTTTGATCGGCTTAATCACCTTCTCGCGTTGGCTGATGAGCGGATATTCCAAGCGCAACAATGCCAAATCGCTATCTATGAACCAAATATCGAAATCCGGATGTATTGCAATTGATTTGATAAGATAAACAGAACCGTCGCTTTGTGAACTATAACTGCTGCCGGCTACAATTAACAGTTGTTGACGCTGCAAGCCGATGACGCAACGTGCAGTGGTCAGCACGACATCCTTGGTATAAATTGTGCCGGAACAACGGTGAATGAAGGGTGTCGAAGCATTGCGCTTGTAGCGTAAGGATACTAAATACGGTGCGCTAGCGATGTCCACCGTTTCACCGCCAACAATGCGTCCTTGTGGTGTCGCGTATACTCTTAACGTGATTGAGGCACAGAGGGCCACAAGGAAAATTTGTAGCGCGTTGGTAAAAAGTGATGCCATTGTTTTCTTGTGCGTCCGTAATGCAACGAAATCGAACATGTACTGTGCCCAGTGGTATAACAAAATTTATGGCGGGAAAATTTAATGCCATTTCGATAATATTTTAACATATCATATATTTTTGTAAAATTAAACATGATAACGCACTTCTTTTCTAGCACTTGAATTTAACTATTTTTCCATTCTTAGTATTTGTCATGCCTGCCATATGTCATAAATTGACCAATGCGGAAATGCCCGAGATAGCTATGGTAGGCATTATTTTGAACGCACTCTACATGCAATGGAATTAATAAGTAAAACTTTGTCAAATTTTTTGTAGATCTTCTTCTCCTTTTAATTTAGTCTTTCGAAGTATTCGGCGGGCTATGGGACTCCATATTCACAGCTATAGCTTTTTGAGATCTTTTACCGAGCTTTACCACCTAAAATATGGTGAGCGTGTTTATATTATTCGAACAATGGCAAGTGCTAAATAGTTTAAATGTCAAGAAGAGGTAAGACATTTGATATCAAGAAACGACTGCCACTAGAGGACTCGTTTTTTAACTCATGATTAGCATATTTCTAGCCTAGTCTGGACTACAAAATAACATAAAATAAAGTATGCAATAATTTTTCCAGATAACTTGATTGTGCACCACCACTTGGCCTTAAAATCAATTATTTGGTGCAAATATTTGAGTTCGATCATAAGCAATTTGTGGTTCGAGCTGGATCTCGTATTTCGAAAGCCGTTTGGCATAGAATTTCCTTAGAATTACGGTTATAACTTTACTATTGCGCTACATAAAACGAGAATTGCTACGAATGATTTACCCTAAAGTGTCTTTAAAAAACTATTTATTATTTTATAGTTTAATGGTTGTACAATACGTGTCTGCTTCTTATCAATGGTAGCGCGCAATAAAGACGCAGTCAGCTTACCATAAACATATCTACTTATATTTATTTCTGATATCAATAATCATTTATGTGCCCTTAATTATATTAAATTTTTAATAACAGTGTTGCCGTATTAATGCAAAATGTATTTTAGATATTGTTTAATACTAAATGCTTCGTATAATTTTATTTTGTTTATATTGCCGTTACTTAAAAAAATTTCACTGACTATTAATTTTCAATTTAAGCATCTATATCAATAAAATGTATTATCTGCGCGCTAAAATGTAGACAACGAAAGTAATGTTATTGCATTATGATACTTATAAAACCCGATGATGCTTATAGTATAACTTCATCATTTTCCATATTTAGTTTAAATAAAACAAAAAAGATTATACACTGATACGTGAAGGTACTATTTATTAGCATAATATTTTAAACATTAGTACAACAAGGTAGACTGTACTTCAGCAATCTTTCTAATCAACCACGGCCGCAAATGCGTTACATTGCTATAAACACCTGGATAATTTGACCTTGCACAACCTCTACCCCATGACACCACACCAGCCAACTTGCCGTTAACCAATAAAGGTCCACCCGAATCACCCTGGCACGCATCCTTACCGCCAATGCCTCGTACGCCCGCACACAACATAGCATCGGAAATTAGTGCATTATTATAATCTTGCTGACAGAACTCATTACTGACAATCGGCACTTTGACCTCTTGTAATAGATCTGAACTTGCACCGTTCTCTCTCAGCGTACCCCAACCGGTAACAATCGCAGTAGCACCATTAGCTGAGGGCTTGTCAGCCAACGGTATGGCTTTAATGGTCACATTATTAATCGGCAACGGCGCACCGAGTACGATTAGCGCAATGTCATTGTCATAAGTACTTGGATCATATTGTTCATGCATAATGATCTCCTTGACGGGTACAACTACACCGTCAACACTACGTCTCTCATTAGCACCTGCGACAATTTGATATTGACTTGCTACCCTACCGATAACGCAATGGGCTGCTGTCACGATCAGGTGCTCGGAGTAAATGGAACCGCCACAATTATGTGAATAACTGTTCTGCGGAGTTAGTATACCCTTCAGACGCATACTAACTTGATGCGGATAGGCTGTGATGTTAGCAGTGTAACCGCCAACGATGCGTCCATCTATTGCATCGGTAATCCCTGCTTCGACTGAGTCCGTTTTGGCGAGAGTGCGCGCCCAAGCTGTATTTGTAGAGGCTATCGCCAATAAGCAGGCTAAAATGATGTAGCTTCTCATTGCGAAAAAAATAAACGTTTAAAGTGAACTGAAGGCAAGAGAGAAGACTTGTTGACCGGTCGGTTGGTCAAAGACTAATTTCTAAGCGGTTGTAATAACGCCGAAGCACATTTCATCAAATTCAGTAGTAAAATATTGATAAGCCAGTGGATTTTCAAAGACTCTAATCGAGAGCTTATCGGTAATTATCGGTAGATGACGGCGTATGCCTTGATGATACGGTAACAAGGTTGTGCGGTTATATTTGTTAAAGGTTACTTAAAGGTAATTTATGGTGTTTATGGTGTTACCCTGATAAACAGTTGAGTCCATTATATAATTATTTACGTGATCGAATGATACGGAATGTACTTATACCATATGGTCTATACGAGGGTGAGATTCTAAGTTCGCGCCTTGAACCGTATATTTATAAATGTGGGAATTTTTAGGTGCTTTAGGAATCGGTTTAGAGCAAACTGTTCATTACACTTTAAGTTTAGCCAACTCTATCAACTGCAGACAAATTTTGTAAAATTCAATACTTCTTATACCTTATTCCGAAAATCGTAGAAAATCTTCATTGTAAGAAGAAATAATTTGCACAACTTAACAGATAAGCTCTAATAACACTCAACATTTTATTTAAAAAATAATATTTCTTTATAATAAAGGCAAAATGTTTAAAAAGCACATACAACAAAATAAATCATATTTTTTAGCATTATCATAAATAAATTTTTTTTCATAATTTTTCATCAAAAGCGCCGTTTACGATCAGAATAACATACATATATACTGTCACCACACGAATACTTGTAGCAGTCTTGCGGTATAGTGATATTCCTTTCACGTAAACTAACTTGGTAAGAAAGCTGTATAATATCGATCACTTTGCCGTTATATATCTGACCTGATCTGATCTAAAAAGAAAAAAAAGTAGCACACAAAATATTAAACGCGCAGTTACCCATTTTACAGTTTAACCAGGTATTGTCTTCACAACCCGTGAGTGTACACTGCCGCACTGCGAATTTAGTGACAAAATCTGAGTAAAGTAGTCTCATTAAAATTAAAATTTATTGAAATGACATATTTCCACTTGAGAATTAGGAAAGTTTCAGTGATAATAACATACAGCTATAAACATTTAATTAAACACACTGCATTTTTGTTATTATTTTTAAAATTTTCAATATTTCATAAATTTTTCTTTTTTTTTGCAATAGCACTCAGCACTAAATAATAAATCATTTTTAAAATCGTTTTTAATTAATTAACTAAAATTTGTTTCTCAAAATAATTTATTTTGGAAAATAACCCAAAAATACTTAGACATTTGATTAAAGCCATATGACTTTTTTTAAAGAATAAGAGTTTTATATAAGTGGCTTCACATAAAAAGTTTTCAAGCAAAATGTTGGGCAACTGACATCTTTTAACGCTTTGCCAAGCAACCGCCGCCATTTTTATTAAAGCGAAACACTGAAAGCAAAACGCTCATATATTTTCTGCACTTCGTTGTTTCATTATGAACAGTCATGTAAAGCTATATGTGAATGGGACTTTAACCTTCATTCTATGCAAAAATACCAACTTGTTCACCATTCACTATTAAAAGACCATCAGATTCACCACCGCAGCTACTTTAACCAGCGCCGTTCACACCGACACAAATCACACCTTCGATGATTTCATAATTTTTTTATTTTTGACTACACACCTGAGGCGCAATAATCTTTTCATTTAAGCTTTGCAATTACCTTACCGTTGGGTTTCATTTGTTTGGGGCCAAACGGCGACGATAGCATTAGCGCGCGCAGAAGAATTTACTTTCGCTGAGATTATTTTCGCCCAGGAACAGAGTTGTATTGGCGTGGCGAGTTTAATACAGCGACATCATAATGGATGGTGTCCGAGTTGAATTTCTCATGAGTGAAGTTCTTCGCGACTTTAACTACATTTGCTGATGTACCTACACAGACTATCGATATTCGAAGGATTAAAGGCATCTATTTGGTTAGCGTTAAGGAGAGGAAATACTAAGTAAGTATTTTTTCCACAACAGATTGTTAACCGAATTGCTTAAGAGGCTTACTATGCAACTGGCTTAGAACTTTTTAAACAATACAAATATGAATGTAAGAAAATATTTAACTACTTTTGTTATCTTTTAATTACCTTTCAGTATTTTGCACGATTATACTTGTAGACAATATCCAATAAAATAAAATCAGGGCAATTATATAAACAAACTAATTTAAAGGTATGGTCGAGCCTGTTCGCGATTTTTGTCTAATATCTAATAGTGTAGAGCTCTTTCAATAAAGATAATATTTTTCTGAAAAAGTGGTTTCAAAAGTTTCAAATTGCACAACGTTCGACCTTCCAATCGTTGACAGACTAAGCTTTTGAAATGATCTGTCGGTCTCAAACCGTTCTTTTATGTGTAATATGGGGAAGGTTTTTTTGTAAAAAGGTCAATTCTAAATTCGCTGAAATTTAACTAGAGTTTGATGCAAGTTGAAAACTGTGTGGTGTTTGAGAATTAGCTTTTAACAATTACTATTTCCACTATCATGATTCGAAAGAAGGGGGTAAGCATTGCAGCAGTCATAGAATTCTCACAATAAAATCCAGTCTTTTGCTTCAATCAAAACTGTCATTTATTATTTGATTTTTTGTAATAATCTAATAATTTTAAAGTTTATTAGCCGTTTCAATGATCCATGAACGCTCGCTTGCAATATTAGTGAAGACAGCTGGATTACCTTTGTTGCCACAACCATAGCCCCAAGAAACCAAACCGACCAGCTGATTATTAACCACTAATGGAGCACCCGGTTGACCATTACAAGCTTGTAGATTACTAGCCAGGCCGCATAACATGGTATTCAACACTTCGTCTTCGTTGTACTTATAGTCGCCGGAACCGCATTCCTCGGCGTTAATTGTTCTCACGGCAACATCAACGAGACTGTTGTTTTCTGCCCAACCGGTTACCACTCCGCTGGCACCGTTTACCGGTACTTTGCTGGCTAACTCAATGAAACCACTTTCCACTGATTCCGCTAATTTCAAAACGGCCACATCATTTTCCATGGTAACAAAATCAAATTGCGGATTGAAGCTTTGCGCAGCGATTTCAACGATTCTTTCGCCATTATTGACACCGACAGCCAGTTGGGAAACATCGTAGAAAGCCAAGCATTGCGCAGCAGTCACAACGGTTTTCTCATTAATTAAAGCACCACCACAGATTACCGGTGGACCATCTTTACCTTGTATTGAAACAAGGTAGGGATGCGCTTGAAAGGTCGTCGGTACACCACCCTCAATGTCGGTGGCGGATGTATTACTAAAGTATGCTAAGATCACTAGCAGGATAGTGCAAGCAAATAATTTCACCATTTTTTTCTACAGCTAAACTATATTAAAGTCACTATAGTTAACTTCGCGCTTTAAGTCTGTTTAGTATGATGTTAAATGTTCAACTATGCTGTACTCAGTTTTCGAGTGCCCTTATATACCTTCATAATCAACCAATATTTACTATGTGTGTTGTATAAACTGTTTACAGTTAATGCAGTTAATTAAGAACAATCATATTTACTGACATTCGATGTACAATTGATTGTTCTAAAAGATAGAGATATGCATCATCACTAAAAAACTAGGCACCAGATGCACGGCTACATTGTTGAGTGCAGGTGATCTATCGTCTATTATGTAGTAGCTAAAGTTGTGTGATAAAGTTGTCAGATACAACAATCCGAAATATGTTTAAAAGGCAATGTGGGATAGTATGCGTATATAAAAAAATCAGCCGATCGGTTTCATCAAATTTGAGTTATAGAAATCATTGCCAACTTGAGATCAACATTATCTGCATAATTTTTTTTGATTTTTAAAGATATTTATTACAGTTATCATTAATATAGAATTAGCACTCGCAGCTTCTGTTGTTGTGTAGTCGCAGCTGTATTACATATTTTATTTAAATTTTGCAATTAATAACAAGTTTCATTGGTAAACATTAACAATTTTCCATTTACTTACACTGAACATGAATATATACAGATGTGTAAATAATTACTCAAACCTTAATTTGTAAATCTATTTAACCTGAATTAGCTAAATAATTAATACAAAATGAAATAATATAAATTCACGTGTTGTTAATTTTTCCATACTGTCTGTCCGTAATAGCGATATAATGAATAAAAATTGTGTTTTTCTTGGTACCCTAAGGATCATAAAATGCCGTTAAGTTTAAATTTTAAAAGGATATAGCCATGGCAAAAATTAAGATACAAAACAGTTTTTGAGATAGGAACCTCCGATACCGTACCACTATAGCACATATATACCTGCTATATAAACTGAGTAATCAAAATCAAGTTCTTGTAAGGAGCCTTTTGTATTTATGAAGGGTATTTCAGCTTCGTTGCAACCGAAGTTAACATGTTTTTTTGTTTTAAATAGAAATTATGTGTGATTCATTTGAATGCATCAGAGCTTCTAAAACTGTTCACTACATTGTTTCTCACACTGGTTTTCAACTTGGATTAAGACGAAATTCGTTCGATTTTCCCCAATAATTTTAAAGCTATACAATACTATCGACATTTAACGGATTTAATCCAGCTATTTGAATTTTAGACCATATTCCAATAAAATCAGGTCTGTTCCCTAAATTTGTATAGTATCTAATGATATGGACCCGTAGTGATTAAAACA